AGTTATAACCCACGAAATTGGTCTATTTACGTCCATTTTTTACCATAAGCAGACAATTAGGCGGAGTGCATATTTCGTGATTTCGAGAGCTATAACCAATGATTTCTAACCCAAATGCAGATGGCTAAGCATTATTCGAATTTCACGAGTTCGAGAGATGTAGGCAACGATTTTTGCCCAAATTTGACAGTTTCGTCCGACGACAATTAGCTCGACAGAGTCAAATTTTGCGATTTTGAAGGACATGAACCCCACACTGTGTCTATTTATACCCCTTTTCACCCAGTGCATACAATTAGGCGGAGTGCTAATTTCATAATTTCTTAGGCTATATAACCAACAACATAGGCAACGATTTTTGCCCAACTTTGACGGTTTCGTCTGATGGCAAATGACTCAGCGAAGTCAAATTTCACGAATTCGTGAGTTATAACCTGTGAAATTTGGCCATTTACGCCCCATTTTTACCCAAAGCGGACAATTAGGTGGAGTGCATATTTCGTGATTTCGATAGCTATGACCAATGATTTCTGACCCAAAAGCTGATGGCCAAGAATTGTTCGAACTTCACGAGTTCGTGAGATGTAGACAATAACTTTTGCACAACTTCGATGGTTTTGTCCGATGACCAATGGCTCGGAGGAGTCAAATTTCCCCATTTTATGAGATATAATCCCAAAAATTTGTCTATTTACGCCTATCTTTAACCCAATGCAGACAATTAGGTAGAGCGCATATTTCGTGATTTCATGGGCTATAACTCATGATTTCTGACCCAAAGGCAGAAGGCTAAGCATTGTTAGAATTTCACGAGTTCGTGAGATATAGGCAATGATTTTTTTCGGGCTTTGACGGTTTCTTCTAATGGCAAATGACTCGGCGAAGACAAATTTCATGACTTCTTAGTTATAACCCACGAAATTTGTCCATTACACCTTTTTTAACCCAAAGCAGACAATTAGGCGGAGTACATATTTTGTGATTTCCTCAGCTATAACCATTGATTTTTGACCCAAAGACAAATGGCTAAGCATCGCTCGAATTTCATGATTTCGTAAGATATCAACAATGATTTTTGCCCAACTTCAACGGTTTTGTCCGTGGCAAATAGCCCGGCTGAGTCAAATTTCGTGATTTTGTGGGATATAAACCTTATTTATGCATAATTTTCACCTAGTATAGAGAATTAGACGGAGTGCATATTTAGTAATTTAGTGGGCTATAACTCATGATTTTTGACCAACAGGCAGAAAACTAAGCATTGTTTGAATTTTACGAGTTTTTAAGATATAGGCAACGATTTTTGCAAGACTTTGACGGTTTTGTCAGATAGCAAATGAATCGGTGAAGTCTAATTTCGTGATTTCACGAGTTACAACCCTTGAAATTTGTCCATTTACGCCCCTTTTTGATCAAAAGCAGACAATTATGCGGAGTGCATATTTTGTGATTTTGTGAGCTATAACCCATGATTTCTGACACAAAGGCAGACGACTAAGCATTGTTTGAATTTCAAGAGTTCGTGAGCGATATGAAATGATTTTTCCCTAACTTTTTACGGTTTTTGCCCAACATTTGAATTTCACGAGTTCGTGAGTAATAGACAGCGATTTTTGCCCAAATTTCGTGAACTATAACCCCTAAAATTTGTCTATTTACGCACTTTTTTTCACTAAGTGCAGACAATTAGGTGGAGCGCATAAATCGTGATTTCCAAGGCTATAACCCATGATTTCTTACCATAAGTCAGATTGCTATGCATTGTTCAAATTTCACGAGTTTGTGAGTTATAGGCAACGATTTTTCCCCAACTTCGAAGGTTTCGTCAGACGGCAAATGGCTCGGCGGAGTCAAATTTTATGATTTTTTGGGCTATAACACCCAAAATTTGTCTATTTATACCCTTTTTCACCTAGTAAATACAATCAAGCGGAGTGCATATTTCGTAATTTCATGAGCTATAACCAATGTTTTCTGACCCAAAGGCAAATAGCTAAGCATTGTTCGAATTTCACGAGTTTGTGCTATATAAGCAACGATTTTTGCCCAACTTCGATGCTTTCGTCCGACGGCAAATGGCTAGGCAGAGTCAAAATTCCCTATTTTGTAGGACATAAACCCCAAAATTTATTTATTTATGCCTATTTTTCACCCAGTGCAGACAATTAGGCGTAGTGAATACTTTGTGATTTCATGGGCTATAACTCATGATTTTTGACCCAAAGGCAGAAGGTTAAGCATTGTTCGAATTTCACGGGTCCGGAAGATATACACAACTATTTTTACCCGACTTTGATGGATTCGTCTGATGGCAAATGACTCGGCGAAGTCAAATTTCACGATTTCGTGAGTTATAACCTACGAAATTTGGCCATTTACGCCCCTTTTTGACCCAATGCAGTCAATTTGGCGAAGTGTATATTTTGTGATTTCGAGATGTAGGCAATGATTTTTGCCCAAATTCGATAGTTTCATCCGACGACCAATGGCTCGGCGGAGTCAAATTTCTCCATTTTATGAGATATAAACCCAAAAATTTGTCCATTTTTGCCTATTTTTCACCTAGTGCAGACAATTAGCTAAAGTGTGTATTTCGTGATTTCGTGGGCTATAACTCATGATTTCTGACACAAAGGCAGAAGGCTAAGCATTGTTCGAATTTCATGGGTTTGTGAGATATAGGCAATGATTTTTGCCCGGCTTTGACGATTTCTTCTGATGGCAAATGACTTGGCGAAGACAAATTTTATTATTTCGTAGTTATAATCCATGAAATTTGTCCATTACGCCCTTTTTAATCCAAAGCAGACAATTAGGCGGAGTGCATATTTAGTGATTTAGTGGGCTATAACTCATGATTTCTGACCTAAAGGCAGAAAACTAAGCATCGCGGGGGTCGAGGTTTCGGACTTGCCTTGCTTGGCTAATTCAAGTCTTCTGGTATATTGGGGCGATTTTGTGTCGTCCTACACCTTATAGGTCGGTGTATGTTACCACGTTATTTACGTGATGATGCATACCGTTCTTCCAGTGTAGGACACTCAAAATCGTCTCTCCAATTATCCCGTGACTGATCTTATCTCGCTTTTTATGAGCTTTCTGACTCTATCCTTGCAGTCGAGTTCCCCGCGGGCAGTCTTCCTCCTCATGCTAATACTGGTTGTAGCCAGGAGGTCTTCTCTTCAGCTTCCATTAGGCAGGCCGTTAGTCCACTCCCTTAGTTTGACAGAGATCGCTCCGACGAATCCTGTCGTTTGATACGGGATGGAGGGCGTCATTGCTTACGCCAGCTGATTACGGACGCCTCCTTCACTGCAGATTCTACTTCCACTCAGGCTTTAAAGAAGCCCGGTTTCCTGTTCGGGGATCACACGGAGGATCCTGCTACGTTGACTCTTACCGAGGAGCATTGGCTGAATCTTAATGAGGGAGCTCTCCTGTATATTCCCTCCATTCCTCGTCAATATTCTTTCACCCATTTGGAGGGACATGCCGTGGAGCGACAGATGTCTTGGCATCTTACCTATGATGCTGAGCGAGTTCAGTGTGGATATACCTCTCATCATAAGATTCCTGGTTCTACTGGGTATCATGATATCCGCGGTCTTCGACCAGGGGTTATGGGTCTTGACACTGCACCCCCAGGCGAGGTATCAGCAGCTGCTCCTACTGTGAAGAATCGTCTGTCTCATCTTGGGAGAAGGTTACCTCCACCAGATTACAGATGTTGTGGTTGGGCTTTCTCATAAGCCAAGGGATGGTGGACACGCATGACCAGTTACGTCTTGGGGCGCTAGGAGAAGGATTTGAAGAGCAGCGGATTGTATGCACCTATACGGGCCACCATGTACGGACTTCCGGTCAGCTGCCGCCATTTCTTGGCGTTGTTGGAGACATACATGCCCGACAGTAACACGTTCATGACCAGCGGCGGAGAGTTAGGGTTGGCCTTACATGAGATGTATCAGGTTTCTGGTCTTCCAATGGGGGATTGTCCATATCAGGAGTACTTTCCCTCGAACCAGCAGTTGGGGTGGTTGAAGAAGGATACTCCCGACATGCATGATACTCTTTGGGACATCACTTGTTATTATTATACCTCCTTGATCAAGATTTCTCCTCCAGTTAAGAAGAAAAGGCAAATCAGCTTGAAGCAGTTTGCTGTCTATCTGTTCCCTAATTTGGAGGGTGACTCCGGCGAGCCCCTTCGTGAGTTAGATGTCCTGACCCCTACCGCCATTAATGAGTTGATGGAGAAGGCTGAGGCTCATTCTTACACCATTGCCCGTGCTGAGGGAGCTTTTCCTGCAGGAACCAAGTTTCGTTCGTTCCTCTGCCGTGCACAGAAGTCCACCGAGCCCCGGACTCTGCTAGCAGGCTACCTTGCCCTCTGGTTGAAGAAGTGTGTTGTTCCGTACCGGTCTTTAGACGCCATACCTCTCGAGGTACTCTTCCCCGCAGTTCAGCTAGCTTATGGGAGGGAGCTTTCACTGCTCCCAGCGATGGTTGCCGGCATCCATTGCGGGCTTAGGTATCTGGTCAGTGGTTTTACACGGGTGGGTTCTAAACCATCGACCGAGCTTACTTGTCCGAAGGTCGAGCTTCCTTATGAGTATTTGATGGCATGGATCGTTCTTCACCGTCCTGACTTGATGTCAGCGCCCAGCGTTGTTGATGTCCCCGTTCCTTTCGTGCAGCTGTTGGAGAGGAGCAGATGGCTCGGGAAGAAATTCGGCGATGCACAACGAGAGCTTCAAGTTCGCAAGAGCTGGGAGTTCTTCAATTGTTTTCCCCACTTTTCAGGTCGCTATGGTGATGTGCTGACTGATGAGGAGAAACCCAGAACTAATCGGACTGCTCTCGACGTTGGTTGTTTCCGCTGGTTAGTGAACATCCGTGTTGGGTATCTCGTTCTCCGGGTGAAGAATCATTGCCACATAGAGCCTTACCTTCCCTGCTGTTTTGCTCGTCAGTTCGGCTATGACCAATTATATGTTGGGAATCCGAGCCGTGGTTTGAAGGTTGAGGGGGGGCTTATTGATGGCGTACGGGCATGGCTATGGACTATGGTGGGCTGCACCGGAGCCCACTTTGCTCTTCCTTCATATAGGCGCAAGCCGATGATTACTTTCCTCAGTTGTAAGTGGTTCCTCTCCGCCAATGAATCCATAGGTGTGAGGAGTCTTTCAGAGTTAGAGTCTGAGCACTCGGTCCAGGTCGCTATGATGGCTGCTCGTAAAGCCGAGCTTGCTCAGAAACAGAAGAAGAAGTCTGCCAAACCTCCTCTCTCAAGCAAAGACGATGAAGAGCTCCTTCCTACTGACGATGATGTCGAGACTTCTGAGGAGGGGTATGTGGATATAGATATCGACCAAGAAGAACTTGATGCAGGTTTGTCATACTCTTTGATCCTCTTTCTCAACTTCAATTGATATCAACGAAAGATCTGGTTCATTTAATGAAATAATCCTTATCATTTCAGGTAGGACAGCCGACGACCATGAGTCGCTCGCTTCCCGTCGTGCGAGATTCAGGCCTGGTGGCCAAGCTCCTACCCAGGTTGATACACGTGGCCAGTCCACACACGAACGACCCGTTGGTTCTATGAGGGGTGATATTCCGAAAAAGAAAAAGATCGCTCATAAACCACACATTGGTCAGCGCTCCTATGAAGTGGATTTAGGAGACTTCGCCGACAGGGAGGAAGGTAATACTTCGTCATTTTCATTGCTTTAAGATGACTTACCTTCTGGGATTCGTAATCATGTTTTATGTTCCAGGGTTCTTTGAAGAGGGCGAACTCCCATTGTCTCCCGTATTCACTGGTTCTGATAATATGGATAGCTTCATGGAGCAGATGTGCGACGCCCTTCGTGACGGTTCTCTGGGTATCGATCTAAACATTGATCTTGGACAGGTGAATAGTGTTGAGCCCACCGTTCCATATTCAGGTATATCTACATCCGATGATACCCTCCTCAAACATGGGGAAAGAGAATCTTCTGTTCTTGCTGCAGGTATTTCTGAGCTTTCCCTTCTTCCTTATCTTCTTATACATATCTCCAACATTTAGGTTGTCCTGCAGATGTCGCGATGGAAAAGCCAGTTGAGGACGGAGCCTTTCATGATGTAGGTTTCGAGGAACAAGGGTGTGCTCCTGTACCAAGTTTCTCGAAACCCGACGTTGGATTATTAGCCGACATGCTGGCTGAACAGACTACCAGAGAAACCGTGAGACCACCATTTGGGAGTGATTCACTCACAGGTATATAGACGATCTTGGATGTCGCATTGCTTTTCATTTATTTGATTTTTTTTGACTAATAGATGAGTGTAATCATAGGACCAGCCACTTGGACCGATACCCTTATGACTCTTGGCATTCCCGTTGTATCTGAGGACGATGGGGTTGCCGGTATGCATGCGATCTTTTCGTCCCGATTTTCCTTACTTGTCCAAATTTCCATTTTGACTAATAAAGGAGTGTAACTATAGGACCGGCCATTGTGCCTGATACCACTACAGTTTCTGGGACCGATAGTTTGCATAGAAGTGGCGTCTTCCCGCCATCGCCGAGTGGTATGACCGATTTGCCTACAGGGGTTGATATACCCTCTATGACCGCTCCTGCCGTTATCTCGGAGTCTGTCGGACCTCAGCCCGAGGGGACCTCCGTCGGCATAGGTATACTAGGAATTTGCCTTTGAATTTCCTTATCGTATTCGATAATCTCCTAACCTTCTATATTGTTGCTTGTAGGATCTCGATCCTCTCTATATGAGCGTGTCTGCGCCCTTTTGGTCGATACCGATCCAGACAGAGACATTTTTCGTACGGACCTCGGCTTTTTTACCGCCTTTTATAACGGCATGATTGAGAAACTTCTTCACAGAGGATACTGTTTCGATCAGTTCAGGCGTTCCTTTTCTCGCCACATGATGATGATGAGGGAAGAAGGATATCCAGAGTTGGCTGATTCCTTCACTGCCGATTTCACTGTTCTGGAGTCAGAGATCCGAGAGTTGAAGGAGTTGAAGGCTGGTGGAGCTTCTTCCTTTGTGTCCTCTCAGATGGAGCATAGGCTGACACAGTGGAACGACCTGAGATCTTCCATCGGCAGCGAGCTTCGATCACATGAGCATTCTGTTGCGCAGCTGATGGCTACCGTGGCGAGGAAGGATACAGGTAGAGCCGAGTTACTCAGCTCTTTGGATTCCGGCCGTGAGGAAGTGGCTAGATTGAAGGAGGCCTTGAGGCACGCCGAGGAGTCCGTTACTCTTATTGTAGAAGACCTGGCTGGATTAGAGCGTTCTCGTGAACAGACGCTCGAGAAGCTGGGATCTACACATGAGAGATTGATGAAGCTGAAGAATGAAGCCGTGAAGATCTTAAGCAGTTTCGAAGACTCTGTCCGAGCTAGTCTGCAGGCAAAACTTGAGCATAGCTATGTAGACAGGCTTTCTAGTTTAGAGTCCCATGTTCTTAGCCGTCAGTTGCCTTCGGGCTAACGAGCTTTTTATTATATGCTTTTGACTTGATGTATTACTAGAGACTCCGCATTTGCTTCTTTCATGATATTTCTTTATTTACTTTGAACCCAGCTATGATAAGATTTACAGGTTTTTTGGCAAACCCCCAGCCATCAACGGGTTTGATATATCTTTACCGATTACCGTTTGAATCGGACTAGCATATGAATTATTAAAACCCGTCTCACATGTAACGTTGTGCTAAGAAAATCGCTTTTCTTAGACTTGATGCTATGATTTTGAATACATAGGCTTAACCATTTCTTATAAGTAAAAGGTATCCCGCGCCGCGTATTAGACGACGACTTATCCCTTCTTAGGCTTCGGGATAAAATTCCCTAGGTTTAGACCCTGGTGTCTTTTTCAATCTGCGAAAGACTAAACCGGTAATGTGTGTTAGACATAGACTTTGGGATTTTTGGCAAACCCCCAGCCTTCAACGGGTATGATGTGCCTTTACCGATCACCGTTTGAATCAGGCTAGCATGCGGATTGTCTAAATCCGTTCCGCATGTAATGTTGTGCTAAGAGAGTGAATTCTCTAAGACTTTGTGCTATGATTTTGAATACATAGGCTTCGCCCTTGTTACGGGAATAGGCTACCCGGCAACACGTGTTAAGTGTTGACTCATCCCTACTTAGGCTTCAGGATAAAATTCCCCAAGTTTAGACCTTGGTGTCTTTTTCAATCGGTGAAAGACTAAACCGGCGACGCGTGTTAGACGTAGACTTACCTCTATTTAGGAGTTGAGATAAAATTCCCCGTGCACAAAAGTGCACGGATTGGAAGTTGGGAATTGTGTCCTTTATCAGAATAAAGACGGATTGGGAAACGGGAGAGGAAGAATTTTATATTCTATCTCCCGGGACTGAAGAGGAAGAATTTTATATTCTATCTACAGTCGGAAAGGAAACTCAAGGTGGGATCTCCACCCTCAGAATCCGAAATGATGAAACTAAGAGTGGGATCTCCACTCTGAGAATCGGAAAGGTTCGAACGACCCCTAACTTTTATAGGATTGGTCATTTGAATCAAAGAATCCCTCATTTATTGAGGGGAAAGCCCAATTTCGACCCTAACTTTTATAGGTTTGGTGGAAAAAGGAACAAAGGCGGATTTTCGTTTATCGAAAAGGAATGACTCGGTCTTAGTCTTAACTATTTGTAGGCTTGACCAAGTGAGATCGGGAACAATCCTAACTTTTATAGGTTTAATTGTTCAAATTGAAAGTGGACCACTCGTTCATGGAAGGAAACGAGAGAGGAATTTGGCTTTGGCCCTAACTTTTATAGGTTTGACCTGAAAGCAAAGAAAGTGGAATACAGGTAGCAAAGAAAGTGCCAACTCGTATTATCATTCAAAGGAAGACTTTAACGCTAGGTGATTAGGACCTAACATGTTGAGTCTGAGAAATGCCAATGACTGGCAGATGGAAATTTTGGTGGATCCACTGTCAATTGGTTTGATCAGCAGATGGTTTGGTGAGGAAAGATTAACCTATCAGAGGATTGGATCTCATCTCACAAAGAATAACTCATAAGAGTTAGAGAATTTTGATAATAAGAAGAAACGTTCCAACGTTCTGAATTCGAACGAGAATTTCTTATTCATCACTTCTATAATGATTGGGTTATCCCTAAGAATACCCCCATGTGGTATTCTTCTGGGAACTTCCCGATACATTGGTTATCCTGAAGATACTAAGGATAGTATTTTTTTCAGGAACTTGCCGTTTATCGGCATCATAAGCCGGTCACCGTCCTTGGTGACAAGGCGATATGCACCACTCAAGTAGACTGTCTCCACTACGAATGGTCCCTCCCATTTGAGTTCAAATTTACCCTTCTTCTTGGAATTAAGGATTATAGGCCGCCTCTCAGCTAGAACCAAATCCCCTTCTTTGAAACTCCATTGTCGAACCTTTTTGTCGAAAGCTCGAGAGATTCTGGCTTGGTAGAATTCGATATGATGTTGAGCTTCTAAACGCTTCTCATCTAGCCTTTCCAATTCTTCAAGGCTCTTCTGATGTTGCTCTTCGGTCGTCATTTGAGTCGCGAGGGCAATTCGAAGTGACGGGATTTGAATCTCCAATGGAAGAACGGCTTCACATCCGTATACCAGTGAATACGGGGTTGCTCCCGTCGGTGTGCGCACCGTGGTCCGATAGGCCCATAGAGCCGCGCCAAGCTTGTCATCCCAGTCTCGTTTATTAGTTTTCACAAGTTTTGCCAAAAGCTTTATAATAGTCTTGTTGAAGGCTTCGGCCAGTCCATTCGCTGTGGGATTGTAAGCTGTCGAAGAGATGTCCTGAATTCTAAACTTTTCGCAAAACCTGATGAAGGCGTTGCTGACGAATTGAGGACCGTTGTCATGTACGATTCGTCTTGGTACACCATGCCGGTAGATGATATGGTGCTTGATGAATGCAATGACATTGCTCGTTTTAACTTCTCTGAGTGGAACTACCTCAGCCCATTTGGAGAAGTAATCGGTAATTACTAGGATGAACCGGTCACCTTTGACTGACGGGGGATTTATAGGACCAACAATGTCCATCCCCCAGGTCTCAAACGGCCATGACATAACCGAAGGATGCAGATGCTCCGGAGGTTGGTGCATGTAATTCGCATGTATTTGACATGCATCACACTTTCGGGCATACGTGATTGCATCACTCATCATGGAAGGCCAAAAATACCCCATTCTTCTGATGCGATCATAAAGCTTGGGGCCAGGTTGGTGTGCGCCACACTCTCCTTCATGCGCCTCCCTAAGGACTTCTTCAGCCTCTTTCGTCGATAAGCAACGCAATAGCAAACCATCGTACCCCCTGCGGTATAACGTTCGATTCTCCGTATTATAGTAGAATCTTGGTGCCCTTCATCGGATTGACTCTCTTTCCTTCATGTCTTCTGGTAGGATTCCATGTAGGACGTAATCGATGATGGGGAAACGCCAATCTCGGGGTTCAAACTCAATTTGGGTCGAGTGTGTTTCCTTAATCTCTTCTTCTTCGTCCTCTTCATCACAGATCGACACTAGGAGTTGGTGAGTCCTTACCGTAACGAACTGTTCTGTTTCAGGAGGCTGCGCCAGTGATACGGCTAATGCTGCTAACGCGTCTGCGTAAGTATTCTGTAGCCGTGGAATATGTTCGATAAAGAATCCTTCGAATGATTCCGCCATCTCCACTGCCATTTTATGGTATGGTATTAAATCTTGGCTTCGGACCTCGTATTCTCCCTGAACTTGTTTAACTATCAGTTGAGAATCGCCAAAGGCTTCGAGGTACTCAACCCCCAGTTCTTTAGCGAAACTGAGTCCTATGAGTAATGCATTATATTCGGCTACATTATTTGAGCACGGTTTAGTCAATGAGTAAGCTCGAGGCATCACGTGCTTTCCTGGGGAAACTAAGACAACTCCCACTCCGGAAGAAATCTTAGAACTTCCAGGAGCACTTGCTACATTAGTTGCTCTTGACGCACCGTCGAAGTATAGACGCCATACTTGCTGGTGCGAAGTTGCGTTTACTTCGTGGGTTTCATCGGGTAGATCGTCATATATCTCGGCGGTGTCCGTAGTTGGATTAGCTGCCAGGAGATCATAGATGGCCTGTCCTTTTACTGACTTTTGTTGTAATGTAAGTCATATTGGGACAAGAGTAAGGCCCATTTTGCTAACTGCCAGGTCATGAAAGCTGGTTGAGTCATGAATACTCGGACTGGGTTAACTTTAGAGATGACATAAATGGTCTGCCCGACCAGATAATGCCGCATCTTCTGAATAGCGAACACCAAGGCGAGGCATTCTCTCTCAATCATAGGATATCGAGATTCGGCGCCTACCATGGTTCGGCTCAAATAATATACTGCCTGCTCATGACCGTTATCGTCATCTTGTGCAAGTAATGCACTTAATGAGTGGCTCGTCGCCTTGACATAAATCAAGAACGGTTTGCCCGATTTCGGTGCAACGAGTACAGGAGGTTTCGAGAGATATTCTTTAATACTCTCGAATGCCTTCTGGCAAGCGTCGTCCCATACAAATGACACGCCCTTCTTTGTGAGCTTGGAGAATGGTTGGCATTTTCCTGAGAGGTTCGAGATGAACCGACGAATATAAGCTAATCGCCCTTGCAATCCTCTGAGCTCCTTGAGGTTTCTCGGAGGCTGCA